CAGTTCAATTTCGGAACATCTCTTCATATCCAGTTACGTCACGTCTGCTGAATTATCTTACTGTACCGACTACACCGCCTAACAAACTGATTCGAGTGGTATGAGAATCGAAGTTTATATACTGCATATTTCTTGGGATTGCATAGATTATTTTCATGCGAAAACGACCTACCAATTTGTTGGTTAGTATTACCACCCATCTTTTCTTAATAATTCTTCGAATTGTCAGTCTACTCACAGATTTCGTATTCTACTATCTTCATCCTAATGCTTCATTATCCTTCTAATTTTAACGAGATTTTTTAGCAGTTGAAGTTTCTGAACGCTTAGATTCGTAAATATATAAAGCTCTATGACTGTTAAATATAAAAACAAGTGTACAGTTTAGTGTACGATAACATTAATTTATTTATACCATTAATTTATTTGTTTAATCCCGATTCACTACGTCCCAAACTTATCAATCCATCTGATCAAACGTATCTTTTGGATTTATGTATATCGATTTTCTCTTAATATCAAAATCGATTGAGCAAAAAAAATAACTTTCACAAATTCTTGTCACAACCTAGACTAGACTCTCATCTAATAAGCTGTATACTTAAATATATTGCAGAAATTTAAGTTTTTAGCTGGAGGTCCATTTCTCTCGCCTTATATCACATCATAAATGTATGCATGCACAATAGAATATTCAATCATTCCTGATATTGAGAATCTTTTCTTAAAAACAAGGTAGTTAAGGCTAATGAAGATAGCACTATTTCAAATTCATTTGTAAATTCCAAGCAGATCAATTGATTAATCTTTTCACAGTGGTTAACTGATTCCTGTAATTCTTGGATTAGCATGTATGGATGAACATCAAAGAAATCAAGATATTGGAGTAAATTTGTAAACATTAGAAAATGTGCACCTGCATGTGAAATCATAACTATAAATTAGGTAAAAACAACCAAACAGTAAATAAGAAATATGGTTTTTTCATAGATAAATTTATTGAAAGTACTGCAGATTAAGCACGAAATTACGATCGGGATTTCCAGTCAACTCAAGTAAGCAAGAAATACACTTAGACAAATTAAATAACCATGACTGTAACAAATATATCGACATATGCGGACAGGTTGAAACGTGCTTCCAAAAACGTGAAGGAAAATCATACAACTGTATGATACAAATCGATGACAAGAAAAGTTACCCTTAATTTATTCATAATTGAAAGTCACTGATGAAATCCACATATATATAATGTATTGAAATCCTGTTTCGGAGTAAGCTTCTTGAAGTTGCATAATCCAATGTTTTGTAATGATTATTTTGAGTTTAATTATCCACGTTTGACCTACTATCTCCAATGTTTAACTATTGATCAAAAACTTTTGTTGAATTATTTTATTTTTCTTACTACTATTAGTACACCTGCCTTCTTACTATCAAGTTGTCCTTTCACCTATTATGTGTAGCGATGTAATTTATCTCATCAATCAACAGCAACGTAGAACTTGGTACATACATATATCAGTTCAAGTTGTCATACCACATTAGCACAGAGATGTAAATATCAATTCAAATGCAATAGTAGTAGAGGTAGTAAAGGTATTAGCAGTAATCAGAGAGATAAGGGTTCCAAGATATTATTCATGAAGTAGAACCTAGTGAAATGAACTTAAAAGAAAAGATAAAGTGACGAGGAATTCAGAAGGTTAGGATCTGCGTCGTTGCAAACGGTTTTGAGCCATGTCATTCAGGGGCTCTAACCATCGATTACTATAATCTCGCAGGCTCCAACCGGGTAGTCGAAACCTACCGACATGACTCAGTCCACTTTTCGGTGACTTTATGAATTTTTGTTATGTTTTGATCTGACCGCCCCTAGGTTTCTTCTAACCTATTCCTACACTACAAAACATAGCTCGATGAGGCAGTCGGTGGTTAGGCATACGTAACGCATGTCCCAACCACCTCAATTGATGAAGTTTCATTAATTCATCTATTGACCTGCCATCCTTACCTAGCACCCGCTTCCTATCAATCTCTGCCTCGTTGTGATTATTGACTCGAATCGCCTTGATTGGTTTAACATTTTCATACAAATATTTATGTATATTAGAGTAAAGCTTGATGACGATCTAATCGAAAACAATATTGTTCGCTTATATGCGTTGTTCTAATTATCGTAGTGGGAATATTTAATCTAAAGACGTTGACGCTCTACGATATTGCGTTAATTTTAAAATCAATATAAGAATGCTCGCTCAGCAGATTCTCCTCCTGAGGTGATTCCATGGTTACTACCGGTCCCCATCCTGGATTCAAGAGGAAAGTTAAGCCTCCCATAAGAAACAGATTTGCTAACAGTGAAGAAATGAAAGACTCAGTAAACACCCAAATTCGAAACCAGCAGGCCAGATGTGTCAGGATCTATAGTGTATCGACAAAATGCAGAACCGCTTATCAAAGTCGGACAATAAATTGAGTGAGACTCACTATTCCACATCACTTTTCTTGACTACGAGAAAGCCTAAGACAGCGCTGAGTGGGTGACACTGAAGTGCTTGCTTCGCGATTGCTTCGTAGCAGTTCACTCCGTCCAAATATACGGGTGTGAAACATGGCCAGTAAGAGTAGAGAATATTAGTAGGTTACTGTTTTTCGACCATAGCTGTCCTCGAAGCATTGCTTGTGTATGCTGGGACAGTTGAGTAAACAATGCTGTTGTTAAGAAACAGGTACAAGGTAAGGATGGCAGATCGATAGATGAAGTAGTGAAACTTCATCAGTTGAGGTAATTAGGATATGTATTACTTACACGTAACTACCGACTGCCTCGACGAGCTATGTTTTGTGACCTAGGGGGTGGGCGAGAAGAAAGCTGCGGCCGGTCAGATCAAAACATGGACTGAACCATGTTAGTAGGTGATTGTAGGAAGTATATAAAATATCATAAATGACTTCCGATCCTTACAAACACATTGAAAATGTCAGTCACTTATGACCCAAAGCATTGTACGCACGTACCACATTAGCACAAAGACGCAATCGTCAATTAAAATCTGATGTCATTTGAGGTAGAAGTACTGGAGACTAAAGCTCGAAGATATTATTCAAGAACTTTTCTTCAGTGAGATAACTTTAGAAAGAGAAAGGTGACGAGGAATTCAGTTTAGATTTTGATAGTACGCAGAATGAATGCACCTGCGACATTGTCATTCAATATCTCTAACCATAGATTATTATCATCTCGCGGACCACAACCATGCAGTCTACACCTGAAAGTGACTGTGTGGTTTTTGCCATGTTTTGGTATGGCCGCCCCTAGCTTTATTCCAACTGCCTACACCACAAAACATAGCTCGAGGCAGTTGGTGGTCAGTAATACGTCCAAATCACTTCAACTGATGACGCTTCATGACTTCAGCTATTTATCTGCCATCCTTATCTAGTATTCGTTTTCTAACAACAGCATTGCCCACTCAATAGTTTCAGGTTATACGTGCAATGCTTCGGAGATACCTATGGTCGAATACCTGTAACCTGCGAATATCCTACACGTCTACCTGACATATTTCCATAAAATTTGTACAAATTTTAAAAACTGAAAGATGAATTTAGTAATTCATTAGATGACTACTTTAACTGTGCTATGTAAATAGAAAATTTACAGTGGAAACTATTGATCACTCTAGTTTATCCGAGGCATGTCCTTCATTAATCAAGTTCTACGCCCATGTTTAATGTCCAATGGAGTGAGTAACCTCGTTATATCATTCACATATTCCTACGGATTCTTTGCAAGTCAATGTTATTGTTATGCACTAAAGCTATCACGGTAACACAGCTACGGATCTCAACTGATTTGAAGTATCTATAAACAACCTATATTCCGTGGTATCCACGTCAAACTTCATCTGATAAGTACCGAAATAAATAAAATCTTTATTCACCATTTTATTAGTTATCAGTAATAGTATAATCATAGGGATAAAATATCTCATTTAAAGCAAGTTCACAAAAACTTCATGTCATTTGTTCATATCTTTTCCAGTATTGGTCTCAAAAACGATGTTCTAGTGATCCAACTTCCTCTAGCCAATTTACCACGTGGTTTACGGATTGATCGATTAAATATACTACTGGAGCTATTGGAATACACGTCCATATACCTAGCCTTAATAATCAAAAGAAATGTTTGCATTCCCCTCTACTTTAGCCAACGACGGATCACAACCTTAGAGTAGAGCTATGAGAAAAAATTGAGTAGAAAATATTTCTCCGACTTATTCATCATTTTCTGAATGTATGAATAATTGATTGTGTTAAATATGCGTGGTAAAATTCTCTGTCGTGCAAACAAACTAACATTTTTAGATACCATTAAGGTGGAAGTATCCTTAACTAATGAGATAATGGAGCCTGAAGAAAACGCAACAATTTTAATATGTCCTGCATTTACAAATTCAGCTGCTCCTGTGGAGATGAGTGAACATCTGCCATCATGGTTTACGAAGGGTCAGTCAAAAACACTACGCAGTTCTATATTAGCACGACTCATAGATAGTGGTCACATTGTAGATAAATCTAGATCTTTCCGGGTGATCTATCGTATACCTCCATCATTTCCCAACGGAGTTCCATCCCGTCTCTTACACATTGCAGAAGCCATACGAATACGTACATTCAATCCCAATTTATGCGTTCAGAAAAAATTCATGATACACCTATCTCTTTCGTGGCCGGATATGACGTAACTAACGCTTGACATTATTTATTTATTATTTTTACGCATTTGCTTATTACGTAATGGTTTTGATGTTCTTAATGATTATTTGAAGTCTATTCATCCACCTTTGACCTACTAATGAAGAAACTTTAGTTATCATATTTTATAATTTTAGTATGTTGATGATGAACAAGGTCACTACTAGTTGTAATAAAAAATATTCTTAGATTCCTGAACAGTACTCACGAGATATATACTAGGAGTATAATGTTGCATGTATTAACTTATTTGAAACTAAAACAATAATAACAATTTAGCTAGCGATTTATTTACAGTTGAAATAAATCATTGATGTAATACGATCAACAATAAAAAATAATAAGATGAACAAATTTTACGTAATTGTTAATATATCTATGTGTTGAATGTGAAAGCAAACACTCTTAGAAATATTAAACATACTACTTGACCTCGTGTATAAATTAATCACCTATGACCCGATTCATATATTAATACTTACGACTAAGATAGCAAAGAAATATAGCGGAAGTAAGCACTTATCTTATCTCAAAAAAATACACAAAAGACTAACAATTTCATTGTACAGTAACACTAATGATATGTGATTTTTTTCTTCAAAGAATATACATTTTACAAAAAGAAGACTTCAGCTTAGAGAAAAATAAGAAAAAATCATGTGCATATACCATACAAAAGATATGAGTCACTGATAAAAGTTAAACAAAAGAGAAAAACAATAAGAACACGACCAGTAATATTGACTAAGACAAACTACTTATTATATAGTTTTTTAAAGTTTACATAAACAAAAGAGAATTGGTAGAAATGCTCCAACCGATACAATGATGGGTAAAATAAGATAGGATGTGTCATAAGCATAAGGATCTTTTGCTCTTGGTGTTCTAGATGGTCTCTGGTGAATTGATTCTTGATAATCGTCTTCCTCATCTTCATCAGATTCAGTCAATCTATGAGGGTGTGGCATCCGCTTGCCAACTGTTTCGATTTCCTCTAACGGTGGTAGCTGAGGGACATCTGAATAATGGAAGGATACTTAGGCTGATTTATCAAAAATTAAATCTTTACTAAGTAAAGCCTATAGATACTAGTTAACTATGAATTTATTTCATATGGAAAACTTATTGAAAATCTTGAATCAAATAAGCTGAAGTTAACAATAAAAAAATCACACGATTCCGACTCAACGATCCAAAACTATAAATAAGAATACATACATAAATATGCCTATATATTAGAGTAAAGCCTAATGATGGGTTGATTGAAAACACTATTGTTCGCTTATGTGTGTTGTTCTAATAAACTGCACCACCTGTTAATTTATTATCAACAACCATCTTGTAATTATGATTTCTTAAAAATCCCCATATAAATCATAAGCTGATAAGGGACAAGTGAACAAATACATAATTTTATACTTATCACTTTGCGATAAGCATACACAATAATGATGATAAAATGAAGCTAACTTGATTAACGGAAACTGTCAATGGAAAACGATACGGATTTGGAGGACAGCTAAATGTATACATCAAATCTGATTAATATTTGGACACAAATAAGACAGTCATTATATGGTACGGCAAATTAAGCTTATGTACGTATTTACGAAGCATAGGAGATGAAAGTAAATTTGTTTAAAGTAATATCAAGGATGACAGTTGAAAACTGATTTGCCGATTAAAATCTTTTTAAACAATCAGTAGTAAGCTTTAGTTACTGCAGAGTATTTTTAATTTGTCTGTGAACCATCATCAGACAAAAATTTTTTTCAAGGGCTATGGTAATTTGCACTTAAATAAAATATACAAATGATTCAGCTGTTAGATTAAATTTTTTGAATAGTTATACAGAATTTTTCTTAAAATCAATAGTAATAAACCATTTTATACTGATATGAAAGATAAATGTTTGGCACATAGATACGAAGAGTAAAAATTATTTTTTTGTTTTTTTAAATCAACAACAATCTATTTGCTAAATGACCACATTACATTGAATCACTAGTTTGACAACATTAAACAGAGTCTGTAGGACTAGTAATCACTTTATGCAACATGATATTAAATTAACATTACGGGTAGCCAGAATTATTTAGTCCGGATCACAACTTTTGTGATCACTTATGACATTAAAATATGTGGCATTTGGTTAGTTTAGGCAGCATAGACATGTGACTTATAGACGAAATGTTGCTTGTTTTGGTGGAGTATTATTCTGTGAGGAAAAACTCCACCAAATTCATTCATCTGAGCAACAAATCTTTCTCACCGACATTGTTTTTGACCGTTTAGTGTTGACGTTAAGTGAGAAAGTAATGAAAGAGTTCCTCATGAAGTCATGATGTATAATAAATATGGAAACTGAAACAGTATGGAAAAGGGATTAGCAAAGACATTACGTAGGCATAATTAAGCAAAATAACTACTGATTCTAAACTATCGCAAAGAGTATAAATACAAAAACGTTACCTTCTATTGTGCCTTTAGTAACGATAATGGCATTGATTTTCGGATTATCGAATTGGGTCTGGATGAAAAAATAAGATTATTATCAATTTCAAATTACTTTGACAAAGTCCACAGTAAAATGATCGTCATCGATAGTGGCTGTATTCTCACCAATATATAATATATCATCTTTTATTTTAAATGGCACATTTAAATCAAATGCAGTAGCAAAACCAACTTGACCAAAAATATCCAAGTTTTGAACAATTGGAATTGAATTTTGAATATGAATATCGAATACCTGGGGTAATTTCAAAGAACACGATAGGGATTCATTAATGACTGTTTAAATACTGGTAACATTTTGCTGGAATCAATTATCAAAAATAACGAGCTAAAACATGCATGAGACATCTAGAAATCAAGTTTATTTGACTTTAAAATTCAAGCGAACAATTAAACGAACGAAGATCCTACCTCTGTTATTAAGTCTTTTTTATTAGTAGTCACTTCATACCGTATTACGTTATTACATCACATATTTTACAAATACCTTCTACATTTTGTACAATGTTACTTTATGCTAAGCTAGTATAAATCGTATAATCAAAGTTTAACTTATATACTATCAACTTGAAGACACCCTGAGTTTTGTAACACAAAAATTGGCTTATTTTTATTAAGACATACTTATTTAATGAATTATGCATTGAATTCCTTTTTCATTATCAACCGGTAATGATTAATACTGTTATCTTTTTTCAACACTAACCTCTGTAGTTAAAACAGAGTACGTGAATTTTAATTATCAACTTCTTTTATGTGAACGGACTTTGTGCAAAAATGTGAGAATTACGTTCAAATGTTGAAGTAGGTAACACAGTACCTTTACCAGTAATTGTTGTTGGCCAGAGTATTTTCAAAAAAAAACAGAAATGGATGCACAGATATGATTTAAACTATTATGTATGTTTAGTAAAGCTTTTTTTAATCAATTTATCCAGGTATGAAAGAGATACGACAAACGCATGTCTACACAGAATGCAAACAATAAAATTATTGACGAACATCAGACCTAACTTAAAAATAAACACTATTATTAGCTTAGATTATCACTAAAAATTTAATCTTAGATACAATTTCATAACCAATACCTCCGTCACTTAAAATGAGAATTTCGATTTACTAGTTGAAATTTGATTGTTGAAACTATTAACTCAGAACTCTGTGTTATTTATAATTTATTAGCTAGCAGATAAAATGTTCTTTACAATAAAATATAGCTTTATGTTACCAACTTTTAAGGAAAAATGAAATGAAATAATTTACATAAATATGTCTACAACGCAAATTAATCCAAATTCCAGTATACAGTGGCAACTGAAAATTTCAGTCAAAGTAATAGAAAAATCCATTTCAATGAGATCAGTAACTAACGAATTGCCTTGACTGGTTTATTATTTCCATATCATTATTCATGTACATCAAAGTAAATCCTAATGATGATTAAATTGGAAACAATATTGTTTCTTTATATGTGTTGTATTGATTTTCATAACAGGAATCCTTAATATACGAAAAATTAACGAGAAACAACTACATTTTTACATAGTTGGTAAGACTTCACGGCCAGTCATAAACAAAGTAGAACCTTCCAAATATGTTCATCGGTTCAATTTTCTAGTACAGTAATATGAAATTATCAAGAAAAATGCTAATCTGATATGGCTTATATAGCCACTACACATCTGTACCAGGCACTTTGTGTCTATCTGGTTGTTAAAAAAATTAGGGTTAGACAACGAAATTCGAGGGAAATGAATTCGTGCAACAAAAGATATAAAATAATCCTCTAAATAATAATTTAATCCATAATAACTCAAGATATAAGGAAAGACAGAGAGTGGATGCATTTGCACCATTGACGTCAACTCTGAACAAAGCTAATCAACATCTCTAACCATTTGTGGCCATCATCAGGTAATAGTGTGAACCTATCAACATAGATCAATTCAATTAGTCATTAACTTCTTAGACTGATATGACGTTTTTATCCTAACCTTTTCTAAACTAACAAGCATCGTGAGTAGATGTGCGTAGCAGTTCGGTAAAAGTAGCACATGGTCTGATCACCTAAATCAATCAATATTCCCTTCATCACCAACCAGTTAACTTATCACTTCGAATTCAACCTTCCTAATGATAAGTTAGTTGGCCTAACATGACCAAAGAATACTTTGAATATGCTTATGATCAAAAACTAGCAACCAACGAATATTTCCTGTTTTTGGAAGGCACATATACAGCCCCTAAATGACCTGGTACAGCCGAGAGTAGAAAGAATTTGCTCGTCTTCTCGGAATGCTCTCACATGGCCAGGTATCTAAAGTCACTGTCAATAAAATTCTGCTCACTGACAGAGGTGTTTCTTTATGTGGTATCATAAGGTAGGTCCTAACTTGGAATCCTTTAAATTCAATGCACAAAAATGATCTAAAGGTGCTTAGCAGTGCCCCCGACAGTTACACGAAAACCTTGAGACATTAATGATAAAATAAATCAAAGAAGCTAACTTTACGGTTGAAAGAGAAAATACATCTGTTAATGAGACTTACTTTTTGATAGCGCTCAGTAAACCAAACCTCAGAAAACTTTAATGTCAGAATGTATTCGCCATCAGCAGTTACCGGAATGGGATAAGAAAAGTCTTCATTGTGATAACGTTCAGTTTGATAAATGATATGATCTTCTGAGGGAATACGATTTATTTCAAACGAGCGACCATAGTCCGATGCAGTACCTATGTCTAAGAAATCAGCCATATATACGGTTCCATGTGAATCGACGTGTTTACGGCCACCACAATTAACTGCCCATATTACTTCACCACAAACGTAATTAAGGTATAGGAGGGAGATGAATATGAAGAACATGTGTTTAAGAATGTCGTTTCAGTATTTCCAACAAAATGTTCGATGTACACTCTGAAATAGTAAGCATGGGGAAGGATATATACAAAAATTAAACCTTTTAGGCTAATAAACATACACATTAAAATGAAGCTATTAGATTCAAATCAGAATTCATTGGAAGTGAGTTATTCTATCAACTAAATATTTTGGTCCTGGATATGCAAGATTATGAATTTGAATATCTGCATGAGATGATGTGCCCAGCTAATATAATTTAGTCTGCTTAATAAGTTAATGTAAAACAATATTTTATCGAATATTAAATAAAGGTGTAAATTATTTCACTTCTGAAAACGTTCACAATAAAGTAGTCAATAGAAAACCTCTGGAAATAAAATATTTTAGAGTTATGGTCAATTTAGCTTTGATTTTATTGAACTGCGAGCCATCTATGTTTAATGTGATTTTCTTATGATTATTATATATGCTGAGCATTCAGCCGTTTAAAAAAAATTACGGTAACTTACAACCGAGAATTTATTTACTTTGGATGCTTCAGAACCATTAAGTATAAACTCTAGCAGATTTGACTAAAGTGAGCGTACGTAAACGGTATAAAATGAAGAAAAAAGCTCAGTCAAAAATACAACTAGGACAAGTTTTATACGGTTAACAAGGCTTGAGTTAAAAAAGTCAAAGTTCAGTAAAAAAATACAGCTGATTTACAACTGGTTTTTACTATGAGCCACGTGGTACGGATCCCAAATATGATGTTATGAGCTGAAAGATTAGTCTTCATGTTTCTCGTAGCTTGTAAGGATATATATCTGATCCAGTTAATTAGATTGTGGCAGATATGTAGTATTGGTTTTCATTCGAGTCGTGGCTAAAGGAAAATTATATTAGTATATATTTGGTTGGTTTGTTAGTATTGAAGCATACGTTGCTACTAAAACTCATTAGACAGTAAACGATAGGTCAAATCTAAAAGAGTGATTCAAATATTATTTTTGAAGTAAATAAACTTTTTCGTAAATTTGACGTACATGTAGAGGGAAAGTCGTATATTTACTGACAAGTGTAAAATACGAAGCTACAATATCCTACGATTTTCCCGCAACAGGGAAATTACAACTTTTTACTTCTCTTTTACTTTCTTTTTATTTTCCATGGAAATTTTCACCGTTTCCCTTGAGTTCGCCTTTATGCATGGCCTAGAGTTCAACGTAGATTTTGATACGGCAGCCGAATTACGTACTACGTGTATTTAAGAAACTCCTATTTTGAGCAGTAATTTGTTGAATAACGCTTTCGGTTAGTAGACATTTACTTTCTGATTTACTTGTACGATTGTGAGGCAAACTAGGAGTATACAGAGTAAGCACATTTGATTTCATATGCAGTTACACGGACAATACAAGAAAAAATTGTAACAGACCTACGAAAATTATCAAACATCCTGAAGACAAATAGCCTTGGATTGTGTATTTAACCTTAGTATGATACACTTAATATATATTTCTACCAAAAATACGAAGTCTTTATGAATTGTGGTTATTAAATTAGCGATATCCAATATCTATTGCACAAGCTACTATTAACCAAATGATTTCTGGGCACCACTTGACTGTCTAATTCTAGCGAATTGTCAGGTGGTTGTGAGTTTGTATGCCCCGTGATTTAAATAAAAACTTTTGTTCAGATCAATAGGGTTTCTGGATACCAGCAGCTATCAAATAACCTGACCATAGATAATTGAGTTGCAATGTAGAGAAAATTAGGTATAAAATTCTAGTGTTAATATAAATAAGATTTAGGAACTCAGTATATCAATATATAATTTAGTTAATTGGAGGACCATTTAGTCACAATTTAGCTGGAGACATACCAACTTACGTTACTGTATTTAATCGACGGAAAGCAGTTAGCCGTATTCAAAATCTAACAATATCTGGCAAAATATCAGTACGAGTGAATAATTTGAGAGTTTGACCTTCAGTTCAAATAGACTGAACAAACATTCACAACGCAATTATTTTTCAATATTCAATATCTTTCTCCAATATCCAATATTCAATATCTTTTTCACGAGCTAGTGTAAACCAATTTTATTTCTTCGCGCTCGATTCTTGTCCTTTCAGTACGGTTCCAGGTGTTCGGTAATGTCCAATGGATGGAGGTCTAGGCACTCGACTGTCTAATTCTAGTCAGTTGGCAGTTGGTTGTGAGTTTGTATGTCTCCGGATTTGAATGAAACGTTTGTTTTAGGGCAATAGGGTTTCTGGATACTAGCAGCCGTCACATTACCAAACCGGAGATCAGTTAGTTGCAATGTCGAGAGTAATAAGGATAATAAGGATAAATTAAAATGATAATATGAGTAAAATTTCAGAACTGAGTAATATATAAATGAATTTAGTTTATTAATTGGTAGTGAAGATTGTGAGAGAGGACCGAAGTGTAAGCAAGGGAGAGGAGTAGGCGAGATAGATTAATTGAGTGATCTGAGGAGATGGCAATGGTAACAACTAGTGGGTCTCAAGATATGCATCAGGCACAGCTTGTCTAAGAGGGAGATGATAGTCCGTATGTAAGTACGTGATTATCAAGTCTCTTCCTAAAGCAGCATAAGCCTATTGATTTCCTTCTCGATTCTTGTTCTTTCTTTAGTGTTCCAGTCACAAAATATAATGTTTAAAGCTGAGTTACTTCAGAAGTCATGAGGTTGGTGCCTCTTATGACAACTTTAGCATTCATTCTAGTAGATACATGGAATGTCCGAACATTGTGGGAGACCGGAGGACTATTCTAAGTTGCTGCAGAGATAAAAAGATACAACCTGGAGGTGTTTGAAATAAGTGAAACATATTCGACATATGTCGGACAACTGAGAATAGCGTCAGGAAAGATGCTTTTATATTGTGGCCACGAAGAAAGTTCTACAGATATAAAAGTAATTGCACTAGTGCTGTTCAAACAAGCACAAAAGTCACGGATAGGATTGGAAAGAGGACATTACGACGAACGTCATCCAAAGCTACACAACTACTATCGACAACAATGACGACATTAAAGATCAATCGAACGAGTGGCTGCAGTCAGTCACCGAAAGATGCTCATCAAAGGATTTGGTGATTTAGATGCAAAACCCAAATGCCAAGGTTGGCCTGGTCATCATTGGATATGAAGACATCATGGGACGACATGTGCTGGTAGAAAGAAATGAAAACGGCGAGAGATTTGCAAACCTATGTGTTCTCAACAAACCGGTCATCGGTGGCACAATATTCCCACACAAACGCATACACAAAGCTACGTGGATTTCACCGGATCACACGACTCAAAACCGAGTCGACCATCCATGTATCAACAAAGTATTCAGAAGTACCATGAAGGATGTGAGATAGGAGATAGGAGCTGATGTAGCCTCAGATCACCACTTGCTGGTCATCTAACTGAAACTGAAACTAAAGAAGCACTGGACAACGGGGCAGACAACATCACAAAGTTGGATACGGCCTTTATTCGGGATACTGACAAACCGGACAAATTCAGAATAGCACTCAGCATGAGTTTCCAGACCTTGCACGATATACTCAATAGAGAGGAAGCAACATTGGAGAATGATTGGAAATGGATCAAAGAGGCAATCACTTCAACATGCCGGGGTGTTCCAGGTCACAATAAACACCATCACAATGTTTGGATGTCTGTTAGTGTCTTGAAAAATTGAAGGAAGTGGGAACAAGAAGGTAGCAATCAATGTCAGCCGAACAAGATCAGAGAAAGTTAGAACACAAGCTGAATACACACAAGCAAATAGGAAAGTGAAGAAGAGCATCAGAACCGACAAACGGAAATATGTAGAGGATCTAGCAATGACGGCGGAAAAGGCTGCAAGAGACAGAAACTTGAGACAATTGTACGAAACAACAAAAAAGGCTCGCCGGAAACTATCGTAAACCAGAACGACCAGTGAAAAGTAAGGAAGGCAAAGTAATCAGCCACACTGAAGAACAGCGAAATAGGTGGGTCGAGCATTTCAAGGAACTCTTGAGTCGACCAGCTCAACTGAACCCACTCAACATCGAAGCAGCATCTATGCACCTCCCAATCGATGTTGGCCCATCAATAATTGAGGAGATCAGTA